ATAAATGGTACTTTTTGAGGCCCATCAAAAATTTTAACAGGAGGGTGCAGAAAGAAAGGAGAATCGAATGGCTACTATATACTCGGGCTCCGTTGTAAAGCCCAAAGCCGGGTTTTATAACGTCGCTTTGGGCTTTAAAACGTACTAAAGTTATCTTGTACGGGCCTGTATAAGAGCGTTTATAAGTCTATATATATATATATATATATATATATACATATATATATATATATATATATATATATATATATATACATATATATATATATATATATATATATATATATATATATAGATATATATATACATTCTCTTAATATTATATATATATATATATATATATACATTCTCTTAATATTATTGCGTCTTTGCGTTAAATGAAATTAAGTAGTGAATATTGGTTGCCTGATTTTTTTCCCATAAAACACCCCCTTCAACTTATAGAAATCTTATTTTTAATTATACATGTTTTTTTACACATTGGGACCTTCTTGCGTCCTTTCATATTTAATACACTATCAGCTCATCTGGAATGTATATTGAAAAATATTTCGTCCGGCGCTGTTGCCATATTTTCTGAAAATGTGGTTTATAAAAACAAGTGAGTGTGAGAGAGATAGAACAAGGTTAGTCCGTTTTTTATGCAATTTGTAATGTTATTAAACGATACACAAGGGATTTATTTACCGACGCGGAGGTTGTTTATAAATGCGCTAAATATATTTATTTTATTAAATGAGACTCGCGTGCAAGAAGGGGGTACGAAACAATTCGTAATTTTTTTGTGAAAGACAGTAAGGCCATATTTTAAGTTTGAGGCGTGTATTATATTAGCTGTTTTCGCGAAGCTAATCCCGAAGTAATTGGCAAGCGCTTTTTAAAATTTGGCGTTTAAAATGTAAAATAGGTATGACCAATTTTAAAATGCGCATGCCCTTGATGCCCGAACTAGTTCGAGATTTGCACCGCAAAAACACCTAATAGGTGTTAGCATTCAACGATATTAAAAATGCTTTTTTAATAAATAAAAAATTCCAAGTATGTTTATTTATAACCTTTCATACAGGGTGTTTCACGTTCGTGGTCCATTAAAAGTTTCTGGGGAACAGAAAAAGATATCGATTTAAAGTTTTAGAAGCGTTTATAATTCATTTAAATCTACTTTTCTAAAATATTTTAAACAAAATTCCACTTCCGGTTTAAACGGAAGTGGCATCAATTTTGTTATTTCAAATGAAACACCCCATATATTTTTAAAATCTACATTCTGAGTTAAATTACTATACCATGTCCTATACCTAAGAGCTATTAATTTTTTCGTTAAAATTTGACAAATGCTCATCAATCAAAAATAGCCTATATATATGGGGGTAGAATTTTTTAAATCTTAAAACGTTGTTTAAAAGATTCCATGTTAATTTTTAATATTTCTCAACAAATTACTTAAGAAAAACCATGAGAAATTAGGCCAACTTGAATCGTTAATAACTTTTTTATTTTAAATGTAACACCCTGTATATTTTTACTTAATCAAAAATAAAATTAAAAAACCTTTCGATTAATATAACTATTCCCTATACCTAAAGTTAATAATTTCTAAGATATTTAACAATTTTAAATATTTAAATACTATTTTGTACCTATTGTATCTATGGTTACCACGTAGCATTGTCAGTTACTACCTGCTATTTTTTATCAGTAATTGTGTTTACAAAACACTTAATTAGTCAACAAATTGTTTATAACAACCAGAAAAATTGACGCCATTAAATGTTAAACAATGACAGATTACGTGGTAACCATAGATACCTTCAACTCAAATGTCGAAGGTTTTTTGATACAAAATAATATTTAAAATTTTAGAATTTGTTAAATATCTCTGAAATTATTAAATTTAGGTATAGGGAATAGTTTTATGTAAAAACATACAGGGTGTTACATTTAAAATAAAAAAATTATTAACGTTTCAAGTTAGCCTAATTGGCCTGGTTTTTCTCAAGTAATTTGTTAAGAAATATTAAAGAATTAATATGGAATCTTTTAAACAATGTTTTAAGATTTAAAAAATTCTAGCCCCATATCCGCAAACCTAATAACAAAAAAGTTATGGCCTATTTTTGATTTGTCAAATCTTAACGAAAAAAATGAATAACTCAAAAACTATTTACTTTAGGTATAAGACATGGTAAAGAAATATTACTCAGAATTTAAAAATTTAAAAATATATGGGGTGTTCCATTTGAAATAACAAAGTTAATGTCACTTCCGGTTAAACCGGAAGTGGAATTTTGTTTAAAACATTTTATAAAAATGTAGGAAGATGGATTATAAACGCTTTTCAAATTTTAAGTTGATATATTTTTCCGTTCCCCTCTAAAAATGAATTAGTCAAAAATGACTAATTTAATAGTTATTAGTGGCTGCTTTTTCACTTGTCCCATGGTTAACCATGGGATACCATGGTTTCCCAAAATTTAACAGCCAATTCTTATGTAAAATTGTCTCCTTAATCCGAAAATGTCGTCAAAAGTTAAAAAAGTAGAACAGTTTTTGAGATATAGTCAATTTTCCATTTAATATAAAATTGATTGACTACATCTCAAAAAATGCTTCACTTTGATAATTTTTGACGGTATTTTTGGATTCGGTGGACAATTTTACATAAGAATTGGCTGTTAAATTTTGGGATACCATGGTATTCCATGGTTAACCATGGTACGAGTGAAAAAGCAGCCACTAATAACTATTAAATTAGTCATTTTTGACTAATTCATTTTTAGAGAGCACAAACTTCTAATGGATCACGAACGTAAAACAGCCTGTATATCAATGGTCTCAAATCAATACCAAGTATGCAAAAATTGATCATTTAAAATTTAAAAAAAAGTATTTGGGTGATACATAATGTTACATTTTACCAACTTATTAAAAATCGGACCAAAATTAAAAACAAAAATGTGATTATCCAAAAAAGGATATTTTTATATATATTTGTGAAATTGGGAAAAAAACTGTTTTTATCTGTTTTTTCCTTGGACCTTGAAAAATTGTCTTTATTGGGAAAAATTAAAAGAGCATTTTTTATGTTATTTATGAATAAATGATTTATTTTTATTTGGTAAGGCCTTTAATAACTTTTTTTAATCCAATTTTTTTCTGCACCATGGAGAAAAAACGAAATAAATCATTTCTTTAAGCCTTTAAATTATTACTAGCATTTAAAAAATAATTTTTTAATTTTCCGAAAATTGGGACATTTTCAGAAAAATTGAATTGCACTTTTTTACGTATTATCCGTAGTTGCAAGGATTCTGAAATATGTAATTTTTTAAATTATTTTTAAATAATTTTAAATATTTCAATATTTGTAATATTTTTAATATATTTAATATTTTTAATATTGTTAATTTTTTTAAATATTTTAATAGGTAGGTACTTTTATTATTTTTAATAAAAAATGTTATTCCAGCTTATTTTTATTTAAATAACTAGTTTATTAAAAATAATTAAAATGAAACTTTAGATTTTCCAAACATTATTATGGACGCTAATAACGTGCGAAACCCCAAATATTAAAATAATGAAACGGTCGAGGAAAGCACAGAACAGTTAAGCACAATCATGCAATGTTGCCAAATTTCGGTCGCAATAAAAATAGAGGATTGAAAGTAAAGTATACATAAACGTATATGGTAACAGCGCCGCTATCGATATTTGCTTGAAATAAAAATATAATTTTTTTTACAAATAGTGGTATTATTGAGTCCAACAAAATATCTTTATACAAGGGAATCGTAGATAGATGGCGCAATAATTTCATTAGAATTAAGCACCTAGCGGCATCTATTAGCAAAAATTTTAAAAATATTTAAAAAAAAAACCGCACGAAATCATAAATAACATGGGATGACTCTACTATTGCGTCCATTATACGGTCGCAATAAGGTCATGGTAGCAATAATAAACGTAAATTGACAATGTGTGGACGCAACAATATTAGTAAAACACACACATATCTTATAATCTATATATATTTTATATTAAGTTCTAACTTTTAAGTCATAAAACATTATGTAATAACAATTGCGGGGTTTTGATTTACCTGATGTAAATTATTTGTTTTCTACTTTTTTATTAAATTCTATGACCGTATACGTAACGAATATTATAATTTTAAAACAACATATTATATACTTATTTCATTTATTACAGAATGCCATGTTTTTTATCAGTGGAGAAAATATGGTTTATGAAAATCAGTCAGGGTTAATGGTTTAATTTAAAATGCAAATACCTTAAACTGCTTTATTCAATAAGGTAAAAATTTGTACGAAATAATATACAATATATATTTATATTGGCCTGTGTGGGGCTCGGGTGATCTCTAGATCCCCTGTATCACTAAACTAAGCAATAATTCTGCTAGGCCGCAGAAAGTTCTACTACCAATGCATTTATTTTAGACGCATCGAGTCTTTGGCGTCCTTGTTTGTTAGTAGCGTCCTTAGGTTTAATGCATCTGTCGTCGTCTTTCGGCTCGAACCTTGTTGTTTCGTCGTCGTCGTCGTCCTATTTGTTTTTATTATCATCCCCTAGAAAATAATTTAATTAATATTGTGATCGATAAATTTTAATTAACGCGTCGATTCTATTAGTTAAATAGTCGCGGTTAATTAAAACTTGTTTCTTGTTCGTGTTTGTAAAAAAAGCGTTAAGTTTTGATCTTAGTCCAACGGGCGTCCTACATGGAAGAAGAATCCCCCTTAATTCGGTCACCAAATTGGAAGAAAACTCTCTAGTGTTCCATGCAATGTTGTCTTCACAAGGATTGTCCAGCAAAAAATCAGTCGCTTGAAAACTGCGTCCACTTCATAGTCGTGCCACTTTAGATTTTGCTGTAGTTGAGCTGCACACAAACACACAATATAAATAAAAACGTGATACGTTCGGAATTAAGGGATCGTATTTTTTATGATAATGGAAAGTGTCCACACTTACCTCTATGCTTTCTTGGAGGACTCATCAGAACTATGATCATCGTCGCGTGAGGCTGTGGCTGAAAAGATAGAAACAAAGAAATTGTATACATATACATATATATTATAATACATTCAGAATAAATTAATTTTATTTTTGAAATGACAAAGAGACAGACACTCACCTTTACGTTTTGTTGAAAGATTATCTCGAGGACTACCATCATCCGACGGGACGTCGTTGTTATAACCTGAGACTTTGTCGTCTTCGTTGACGTTGTCTGAAATATTCAAATTTTTAACCAGACAACTATCGCCGTCGTCGTCCTCGTTATCCAGCTCAAACGTAGTCGCGTTTTGTTGTTCATCTCGTTGTCCATGTCCATGAGGTGAAGAAAAATCCGGAACGTCGTTGATATCATCTGCGACTTCGTCGTCGTCGTTGCCTGAAAATATTCAAATTTTGAACCAGAGAACTATCGCCGTCGTCGTTACCCGGCTCAAACGTAGTCGCGTTTTGTTGTTCATCTCGCTGTCCATGAACATGAGGTGAAGAAGAATCAAATCTCGTCGATCTGCAATAAAAACATATAAAAAATTTAAAACCTTAAGGTTTTACGGCAGATAAAAAGAATATTATAATAATAATAATAATAGATAAAAATACAAGTAAATATAAAAATGTTTTTTTTCTTTGTAGAAATAGATACAACGAGTCACCGGCCAATCCTGGCTACCGTTGCTTTCTCTATATAAACAAACTTGGAATGTAACGTCTGTGTTTGCTGATTTAAAAAAAAGTTAACTTACGGTGGGATGACTTCCGTTGTGACCGCGACCGCTACCGTTACCGAAGAGATAGCGACAACGGCTTTGTATTCGTCCAAAGTAAAACCAGAGACGGCGCAGCAAAACTGCTCGAGTTCCTAGCAATACAAAGAGACACAAAAGTTAAAAACAAGCAAGACGACGACGACGACGACAATTAACAATCAACGTGAAGACTTACTCACCGTTTGTCTGTTCATCGGCGTACGCTTTTTCTTTGTCCCCCGCGACGGCTTAAAAACTGCAAGGACGAGACGTCGGGCAGTGTTGTAGTCAACGACCTTCTTCAGTTTCTTCATATCCTTACACAGTTTATTAAGCCTCGACAATATTGTTTTCGGATGAGTTTTTCCTTCGGGTCCGCTTCTTTAACATACTTCGTTGCTATAGCCCACGCCATGGGTGAGCTGCACAAGTGTATTTATATATTTTGCGGCTGTGGCCCAGGCGGGGCAGTCGTACGTGTCTACTGGTCGTAGAATTGCTCTCCAGATTAGCTTTTTATTTTTTATACTCAGCTTGGACTTTGAAGCTATTAGAGGTCGTAGTGCAGCCATTATTGCTTTCACCTTGTCTCTGGAGTTTTGTATGTGGGCGCTCCAGGTGAGCTTTTTGTCCAAGTATTTTGCAGTGTCTTTCCACTGTATTTCCTCTTCGTCGTATTCAAGTGGATTTGGAACATTTCTACCTTTTTGAAAAATTATAGCCTGTGTTTTTGAGGCGTTTATCTTGACTCTCCACTTAGATGCCCAATGGGCATTGCCCATGTGCCGATGTTGTCCAGGGCTAATTGTAAGTCAGATCTCACTTTCCTTAGTTTGATGCTTTTTGTGTAGATGGCGGTGTCGTTCGCATAGAGTGCAAATTCCACGTTTTGCTTGCGAGGGAGGTCGGTCATAAACAGGTTAAACAGGGTAGGTCCCAGGACCGATCCGTGGCACTCCGGATGTTATTGACATTTATTATTATTATTATCTGTCTGGTCGTGGAGATTAGGGAATTTTTCCCTATTTATGGGGATATTTTTAGAGAATAGGGAAAAAGAAAATTATTATTTATTTATAAGGAATTTTTGTTATACCTAAACAAAAACTTTTACCGGGTTGTTGATTTCTTATACAACTATTGTTGCGAGCGTGAAATAATAGTTGCATATGTGTATGCTACGGTATCTCACATATATCGAAACTAGGAATAATCAAACTTTAAATTTCAAACACCGGCAAGCACAAAAATCCTATCCTTTTATCCAATGTCAAAAACACAAAACAAACATTTAGGAGTTTAGGAAGTTATGTAACGTTTGAAACAAATGAGTAGCGACGAATAATATGTAATTATATGTACAGGGTGATCCCCTATAACGTCGCCCCCCTTTAACATTTTTTGCCATTCTGTCCTTCCCAATTAAACTTTTTTCCTAATTTATTTGACATTAAATGTTATAGCATGTTTATAGTAACTTTTCGCACATGTGCACCTCCTAAGATGCTCAACCTTTGCTTCTGGAAGATATAAAAGAAAAATATTTTAATTTATTTTAAAAGTTTCCAAAAAACAAAGACTAAAACTAGTATTTTTAAAATGATTATATTTATCCATAGGCAAAGTAGAAAAATTGTTGGGTTTTAATATAGAATTTGCTTCATTTTCCGACATTAATCTTAAAATCTGCTGTGTTCTTATGGTATTCTGAGTAATTTGTTCAGACACATTTTGAAGAATCGTCAGTACACGCCGCTCGAAATTACTGTTGTTGGTTGTTGTTGAGGTAGTACTTAAGGAAGACGTTGCATTTAATGGAGATGTTGCATTTAAAAGGGACGTCGTATTTAATGTAGATGCTTCACTGAACATGTCAGTATCTTTGTTTGCTTTTTTTACAAAAGTTTCTTCATCCTCAGTTTGTGTCGTACCTAGGCTGGTAATGGCCTTAAATACGAACTATAGGGTCTCTCTAGTTCTTCGACAGAGAGAATACCTACCTCAAGTAACTTTACAGTGGAGAAATAGGGTTTGAGAATCAGTTCAGGTTTGGTGGTTTAATTTAAATGCCAAAATAAGTTAACCTTGTTTATTCTTTCATAGAAATATATACAATATATACAAAATCATAAGTAAAGGATATATACATAAAATAAAGGTCAATATTTCGTTCTTTAATACCCCAAAAGGCAACAGGCAGGTACAGGCTCCGTTTTCCTCCACAGACAGGCAGGTTCACTTGCAACTGGGGCTATAAAGAAGAAATATTTAATGCAAAATATATAAGTGAAGTTATGTTCACTTGGATGTTAAATGTAGATAAATTATTAATTACAGGACGGGTGGCAGGATAGCAAATAGGCATACAAGCTCAGCATAAAAGCCCAGCATACAAGCCCCAGGTTAACCTACTGTTTTATATCACTAGAAACTAGTCCTTGTGCATTCAAGTCTCGGTATTGGTTCTTCCATCCAGTATTCGACCAGTCGGAATTTGAGCCACCAATAGACTGATTTTATTAATGTCCAAATCCGCCTTTTATAGCTAAAACTTGCACAAAGAAATCATCTAAAAACAACATCACGCCGTTCTGCTCCATTGGGTTGTCAAAATTAGTTGTTTTAGTACATGGTACGGCATCTGTTGGCTGGTGGATGTACTACCTCTTGCAGGTAACAGAAAACTGTGGTGAATTACTAATGGTTCATTACAAATTGTCTGTCTATCCAATAACTCCTCAAATCTTATTTTAGCATCTGCCAAAATTTCTAAAAATGGAAAGTTTAAACCAATTTTACCAGTTGTAAAATGAATTTTTTTGACCAAAAAGGTGGGCTAAGAAGTTTAAGGTTCCAATACTGCGGATTCCAGGCATGAATTGGGCCAATAACACCGTTGAGGATTGCTTCCTATTAACCATATTATAGGGACAACGGCACATTTTTTATTTTTAAATTCTACGAATTTTGCTTTATATTTAAATAAAAAAAAATTACTAAACTTAATGCAAATCAATATTGTAAATTTGGAATATAAATACAATACAATAAAGTGGCTAAGAACAACATAAGAACACAGCACACGAGTTATCAAACAAACATGTACCGTATTTACAATTAATTTTAAGTGGTTATGAATTCTGTAGAATTATTAAAAACCAACTTAAAACTTGATCATTTTCCTATGTGAGCATTTGTTTGTATTACATTTTTGTCGAAAACGAATGGATTCGTGATAATATTCTGCGTTTTACTTTATTATTTATGTTAAAAAATATGCAATTTAAAGAACCGAATAACTGTGTAATTTAATATGAAAATCCGCTTTTATGGTTTGGACGGCAGAGTTGTATCTGTTTAGATTTAAAAAAATTGGACACATTTTATATAATAAAAATTATTCGAATTATTCTCGAGTACCTAGCTTATTATATATTATATATAATAATAATGATATATCATTTTGTTATATCAGTTCTGGGCATCTGTTTATTATTTGTCTTTGTACCTATGTGCAAACCATTTGCATTGTATTGATTTAATTAAAAAAAACTTGAACCATCTCACTTTTAACATAGATGTCCATGAATCTGTGCAACAAAGTCAACTTTACGTAAATCATTTTGAAATTCAGCATATTTTTCTAAATATGCTTCTTTAGGAATATTACCCAGCATATAGGGACTTGGGAGTTTATATCTAGGAACCAATAGAGCAACTTACTTCTTGAATGCTTCATCATTGACAATTGTAAAAGGTTGAAAATCCAAAGTAATTAGGACCAGCACTGCATTGTTCAAAAATGTTTCTTCCTTCGGAATAAATCATCATAATAAACACTTCTCTTAAAAAAAATATCAACGCATGTAATACTTGAACGTGCAGGAAAAAGTACTGTTAGAACTTGCACAAGTGCTGGCCTCAACAGTAGTGAGAACCTCTAAATTTGTATGATGAAATATTTTAAAATGATCGCTTAAATTATAATTTTTCCATAATGTTTCCACTAGTTTTGTACTCTTTCCCACACGTAATACATTTTTGCAAGTTTTCGATCACTTGATCTTTTAAAATATTTCCAAACAATAGAATATTTACTTCTTTTATTTTTAGGTTTATTAGTCAGATATTTACTATCTCCACGTACACCAAAGGTACCAGATTCATTATGGTTTACACTAGAATAATCGGATCCTGTACTTGATCCTAAGAAATTTGCTTTAAGAAACAGAAGAGAGTACTCAAAAATATTCAACTAATTTAAATTAGAATAATACATAACCACAAATATTGGTTTATATAAAATTATAAGGTTCACCAATAAATTGGTGCAAATTACTTTCTTTCTCCTTTTATTTCTCTATGCCAGAATCTTAAAAACTGCCAGAAACTTACAAATTTTACAAACTATAAACCTATAAAATTCCACAAACTTATCTTTTTTCTTCTTGTTTCGGACCCAGATCGAGTTTTGAATTTTTTTATTTCTTACAAATTTTTTAAAACACTTTAGTAAACTCTTTAGAAAAAGCATATATTTAAATTGATTTATTATCTATGACTTTTAACAACCCCACGCCCAAAGAAAAAAAATTTCATGACGAAACAATGATGAAACAAACGCAAAGTCCCCAGATTTCGGCGCCAAATTTCAAAACAAGACATCGGAATTTAAAACAGTCGATATTTATCGATAGTGCTATCGATAGTTTTAGACCTCTAGTACAGCGTGCGACCCCTTAATCCAGATCGGCGAATCAGCGAAAATTATATTCGTTATTTGTAAGAATGAAAAAGATTAACAAAGACATGTTTTTTATATATATACTTATAAATGTGGCAATGTGGGACCAATTGCTGGAGCTTGTTTATCCCCATGTTACAAAACGGCGCACTATTTATATTATGTCTGTGAAGGAGCAACTTGGCATTAATGTTCGGTAAAACATAGCTCATATGTTTTTGATTTCTAAATACTGCAGTATGCAGGAAATGGCTTTTAATTTTAAAATATGCAAAAGCACAGTGCATACAATATTGAATAACAGGCATCATTGGGGACGTATTATCCCCGATTTACCTTAAATTTCCAACCCAGGATGAGTTACGGAAT